GGACCATGTGGAACGGGCGGAAAAATGGCCGCGGACCACGTGGAACGGGCGGAAAATGGCCACAGATCCGGTTCGTAAGTCAAGGCGAGTTTGTAAGTAGAGGTAAATATTTGGGGCTGGAGCTGATCGTATCTCGAAATTTTCGTAAGTAGGGGCGTTCGTAAGTAGAGGTACCACTGTACTTTCTTTTAAGAGTTAATCTCTTTATTTTTTGAAATATGTTAAGTTATATGTGTTATTGGAATTCATTAGAAATAAACACTTTACATATACATGTTTGTGTATCTATATTTGGGCAGGAGTAATTGTGGTTTCTAATGTAAGAACCTTTGCAAAACAGACTTTAGAAGTCTCTCTCAGAGATTTACTTTTTACTGTGTGTAATTTCCTTCTGGTTGTATAAAGGTTTGTCCTGCCCTGTCTGTTTTTCATGACTTCTTATACTTAATGGTGTTACCTGTCATTAGATGAAGCTGTTGTTATCCCAAGTAATGTTGAAACTTCAATACACATTAGCAGCACCTAATGACAAAACTTACTACTGGAATGGTAATAAAGATGTGCTAAATTTGGAGAGGATGAACTGACATTCATAGAAATCTAAAGGCTATCTTAGAAAATTGATTATATCTAAATATATGCTTTGACTTGTAGCCTACTGTTAGTCTCTCAGATAATGTTTTTATTTGGAAGCATTAAATATTTCATTGCACTTAAATGCACTGAAAACAAAAGAAATGTGCGTTTCATTAACTTCTTGTTCTGTAAGGCACATACCTTACCATTTATTTTCCTGAGCTGATTCAGAGATCACAAATAAAAATATATTTGCCATCTGTCTAATCCTTGTTTTTATCTTCATATCTCTTGTGTAGCCATTACCTAATCTTCCATCTGGACCAAAAGTAACCCCGTTCCCTGGTATAACAAAATCAGAAATGGCAACAGAAGTAACAAAAGTAGAAACGGAAAGCAAACAAAAACGTAGGATTTTATATCTGCTTTATTTTAATTTTAAAATCTTTAATATAAAATATTTGACAAAAATTGATTTCTCAAATGGGTAGATAGTTTATTCCTGCCTTCTTGAAGAAAATATTCTTACATCCTGGGTGAGGAATATATACCCCAGTAGTAATTTCCATTCGACTTTGCTATGTTTGACAGTATAATGCATTTTACCTTCACCGCTAGAATCCTTAAACGTGCAAGGCATCAGAGCAGCTTGTCAGTTTAGTGATGGTAGAGATGGGTGATAGCAATTTATTTCTTTACTGTTTGTAAATATATCCAGTTCTGCTGCATAAAACTCCCAAGACTATTCTATTAGCTTGTGTGGTAAAAATGTCATCATAATTTTCCATCATAAATCTTGGTATATCTAGTAGAGCTGTTAGACGTTCTCTTGACTTTGCTCTCTTGTGTCTTTTCTGAACGCAGGACTTCAGTAAATCATTTGAATAACTTAGTTGCTACTGTTCTTCAGCTGATACCTTGTCTTATTTAAATTGCTCATAAACAAGGGGGAGGGTGACATAATCTCTTCCTATGATTTTGTGATATCTCTCTGGAGTGACTCTCTGTCCCTCACTAGCATAGCTTTTAAATAATTAATAGTAGTGTGCCATACTTCATGGTAAAGTAATAGAGATTAAACATATTGTATATAGTAAACCCTTGACTGAACTGACCTTGGATTAGTGGACTGTGAATGCAATGGGCAGAATCTTTCCATGAACCATATCTGTATATGTGTTACTGTAATCTTATCAGTGTTTTTATGCATGTATAAAATATGCATGCATAAAATCCATAAAATGCACATACAAAACATTCAATTCCCGTATGCATGTGCAAGATTCCATTCAGGTTTAATAGACATTCCACTTTAAGTGATACCCCATCTCCCCATTAATTACCTATTGTGAACTGTAGACATTTGTATTCAAGCAAAAACCATTGGAATGTGTTCAGTATTCAAAACTTTCATTCCTTCCTTTAAGCTAAAGAATACTGCAAAACCTCATTTGCCTATGAAGGTACCCATGAGGATGAACTTAATTTTAAAGAAGGTGATATTATCCAAATAATAAGCAAGGTAAGTTATTTATATTTAAATAAAAACATTTCTTTTTATTAAATCTAGGGTTAGACACATTTTGGGGACTCTAGTTTCTGTAAACCACATGTGAGATTGCTTGCTTCCTTAGCCTCTAATAAGGCTTCAAGTAAGGATATGATCCTTGCAGAGGTGTATGAATGCTATTGCACTTGGTGGGCACCTTTGCTGATTAAACTGTTTACTTATATTAGCAAAACTGGAACCTATCTAGAGGATTGGAGGTTGGGTGTAATAATACCTATATTATAAAAAAGAGACAAGCAAAATCCCAAGAATTAGTGAGCAATCAGCCTTGTGGATATTCCTGTTAAACTTTATACCAAGACATTATTAGACAAATTGGAAGACTGGGTAGAGACTAACAAGATTATTTATAATGAAATCTATAATAGATTTCAGGAAAAGTCAAAGCATGCTTGACAATTGTTAGGTTTTCTTTTATCTTGCTTTTAAATATATGAACACTGCTACAAAACATTTGGATGTAGCAACTGCTGATTTGACTGCAAACGTTGACTCAAAAGAAATAGACTGTTGATGAAATTAGGTAATACTGACATATATAAGCATCTACTGTATTTACTGCATCAGTTCTCTTCAGTTATGTATTGTCAAAGGCTTTCACGGCCGGAATACAATGGCTGTGGGGGGGGCGCTTTTGCTTTGCGGGGTGGGGTGCTGGTGTGTGTTTCGGGTTTCGGCGCTGTCTTCTCTTCGCCCTCCAGCACGCCCCGCCAGCCC